AAAAGAAAACTCGCAGATTCGGAAGTGCATCATAAATCATGTGGCTCGTTGACACCAAGTGATAACTTAAGGCTGCGCCCGCCCGGCCGCTCGGGATTAGTCCCGGCGCTCATTCACTGGAGGGCCCATTGTTGGCTGTAACGTCGGATGATGCAATCAAAGTTGTATGTGCCCGGCCACTTTCGTGTCTGCTTTGTTTATCCGTCGCTGCTGCTTGTCCCTCGTCATGCGACAACCTTGACCCCGATCCTCCCGCAAATTCTGATACGCATCTGACGCCGCCCCGATTAGGAGCAGATCTGTTTATGCAACCGGCCGCACACGACGGTCCTCCCGGTTGCATAAGCTGGAAAATCTCCGCTCAAACGGATACGACCAGACAACGACGGAGCTTGAAAGGAACCTTTTTCAAATCTATTCCGAATCAGAAAATCTGAATTGGCTCCTGCTTTGATTTGAAGAATTTGTTTAACACATTGATCAAATAATTTTGATCAAATCTGGTCTTTATATATTTTGTAATTTTTCACTTTTGAGTTTTGACTAATAATAATTTTGTAAAAATGTGTTGAATTCATTTTCCAAAATTGGGTAGGCTTGAGAGGACGGAAAGAATTTTTCAAGATCTGGCACGATTCGCCTCGATTGCATTTGAATTCAGGCCTAGCGAAATAAATAAGCGCAGTAGATTCGTCAGTTGTAAATCTCGGCCGGTCCCCTCGCAGCATTTTTTTGTCCTTGCTTGCAGAATATGTATTTCCTTTTCATTTCTCGCTCCCCACTCGTGCGACAGGATTTTTCCTATCCGTGTTGCGCACTTTGCTGCACCAGCAGCGGCGGCAGGCCTGTCCGGAACGACCGACCCACTTCTGGCACCCGTCCTTTTTTCTCGGGTGGCATCAGCGGCAGCACCAATTGGTGGCTCTTTTGTTTTGGGTCCATTATTGTGCGGCGAATGATAAATGGCACGTGTGTGACGAGAGCGGGACAAAAAGAGCCGCCGGCCGACTTGAACAGAAGAAGCGGAATGTTGTGGCTGCGCGCGAAGAAAAAAGCTCAGTCAAAGAGAGTTTCGGCGGCAGTAAAAGTAGCACCTTATCGAGGTGCTTAATTTATCTTGTCATCAGAGAGCGAAACGACGACCGTTTCTCGCTCTGCAATCTGATAACGCGTCTCTTACTTTTATAATAATAATAATAATAATCTTGTGGCGGAGGCAGAGCGAGCGAGGGTAATAATAATAATAACTCGGCCGGCACACAGCAGGACGGAGGAGCGGAGAGCGCGAGGGCGCGCGCGACTTGGTAACAGCGAGCTTGCTTGGCGCACTGCAGTACTCAAGGCGTCACATCCACACACGCTCGCTCTCTCGCTCGCTCGCTCGGCGGCCACAGAGCAAACGCGGGGGCTCAAATATTTATATATATTAAACCGCACACTCGCCTGAGAAATTGGACGATACAATAGGAAAAACACCATCAGCACGACCGGAACCCTCGCACAATTTACGCTCAGAAATTCTTTAATATCGCGCGCCACCGGCCCCACCAGACTTGAAATTAAACAAATAATTTTCCCGTCAACTTGTTTACGAGGCCAAACCTGGAGCAATCGTAAAAACAAAATTTATTTTAGTACACGTACGTGACATCCTTTTTTGAAAAAGAAATTTTTTGATTTATAAATTCTGCGGAATAATGGAAATTACCGAAAGGACGGATTTTCAATACTATTTGTATACAATTTTCAAATTTTTATTGCCTGTATTTATTAATTGTTAGAAATTTTATCAATTTATTATTTAAATTCATCGGCATAGTAAACAGATAGCAATCTTTGGCAAATATTTATAAAATCAAGGAGCCGAAATGAGCGCCGCACATGGTTGAATTAGGCTGAGAACGTGCATGGCAAGTGTGCCACTTTCGCTCGGGCGACTTTTCGCCCCAATTTGGCGCTCGCTCATTCGCCCACCCGGAGAATTGAATTTGCACGCGCGAGAGGCATTAAATATGTTTAATGCGGTTTGCAGGCAAAACGCCGCCGAGCAGAAATTATGATAATAAATAAATTCAATGTAATTAGCCGCGGGAATTAATTAATCTTCTGGCCCGTTTGCTGATAAATGCCTCTGTCAGTTCAACATTTTGGATAATTAAGATTATATAAATTCACTGCAGCTTTTATTTCATTACGCTCGATCAGTTTCGCGCGCGTCACAGTGAAGCTTTTCCTTCCAAATCCCGAATGGCACGATCCGGCTCGCAGCTCGATTCAGTGGATGCAAATTAAAGCGTCACCATTAAGTTCTTGCCGGTTAATTGCCGCTTTATTTGAAAAGTGGCCAACGCGCTGAGTGGTTCCGAGGGTGACGTCAAAACAACACAGAAAAGGTCGATGAACACCGGCTCTTTTGGCCGCCCTTTCTTTTTTTCTTGGCGCGCGATTCGCACTCTCTGGACGAGCGCAGATGAAAGATGGAGCCCGACACTAATTTCGACTAGATAGCACTTTCAAACGCTGTGACTGATTAGTGTCGCTCTAAAAAGTCAGCTTTTAACTTAAAAGACCCTCATTTTTCACCGGATTTTTTTTTTTTTTTTTTTGAAATGCAATTATTCTTTTCGGCCTTTTCCTAGATTGATTAATTTAAATTAAAAAAATATTTGTTCATAATTATTACAAAATAATAATTAAATTTTTGTTTTAAATTGTAAGAAACAAGTAAAATATAAAAGACCTTTAGTTTCAGCCTTTTTTAAATACAATTCTTATTGCCGTCTACCATATTTATTATTTTAAATTAATAATAAACAAATTTGGTAAAATTAAAAAAAGTTTTGTAATAAATGATAAAAAATAAAATTGTTACTAATAATGAAGTATTAATATATCCGTCCCCCTCAGTTTTCATCCGTTTTGCTTTTGCTCTCTTCTATTTATTTAATTAAAAAATTTTACTAAATAAAAATGTTTTTAATTAAATTGTTAAGTTACAAGTAATATAATAACAATTTCATTGGTAGTTTATATATAGAGCGGAAAAAACTAAAACCATATCTGGCCGGCTCCATAATGCTTATTGCAAACTGAGCTAGACTCGAATTTCTGAGACAACGAAATACTCTCAAATCTGGAAGACAGGCAGATCTGCACAAAGCGCTTTCCAAAGTTTGCCTGCGAACGTGAAACAATCCGGAGCAGGTCAATATTTCGCCGACGCAGGATTAGCATATTAATATACACGTCTACGCTGCTATCTGAGCAAAGCATCTTATCCAAGCAACTTGACGGCGAGGTGACAAACGAGGACAAATTTGCGGCCGAGTGAGCAAGACGGGGGTGGAGGGATGATTTCAATTTCGTGACTAGATGGCAGATTGTCAGCAGAGGGTGTTGTTGACTAATTCATGGACGTCACAATTCGCCGTTTTGATAGCGAGCGATCCATATCTATTTACATATGCAAACTTGGCATTAGCCTCTCGCGGAATGCTGCATCGCATTAATGAAAACGGCAAATATCGAGCCCGGAGAGGGAGGGGGAGATGGGGTTGTACGTGATAACACCGCTGCTCTCCGTGCGTATTATGCGGCGGTTGCCTGCTTGTTATTACAGGAATGAGGTGCAAACCCAAACGCGGGCTTATTGCCGCTGCCGGGGCGGTTGCCACTTTGCCCTCTCGATACATATTTCATCTTTCGCTGCACAATTACTTTCTTCCTCTTCTTCATCGTCGACAAGCGAGAGAGAAACTCGCTCCCTTTCTCTCTCTCTCTCTAGGGCAAACGTGGCTCCTCGGGCTGTATCGCCGCGCTGCAGGCGTATGCAAATTAGGCAGGCACACGCCGCCGTGTGTAAAACTACAAACATCCGCATCATTATGTTTTCCCTTTCGAGTTGCGAATATTTCGCGGGTGGATTTAATTCTTAAATATGATTTCCCCGTTGTGTTTTTCGCCCCCGACCCATTTCCGAGCAGTGAATTTCGGTGCAGTTTAATTTCAAAAGTCGTAAATCCTAGAGTGGCTAAAGATAAATTTTAAAAAGGGGCAGTGGGTGCGTCGAGCGGTGGTCGAGTGCCAAATACGTTTTGCTCGGTGACACTTAAATTTATTGGGTTTTGTCCCGCCTGAAGTCTTGCTAGGCAAAAAGCGCGCCGCTTGCTCATCTGCACATTATAAACCGCACGCTCGTGTTTCTGGAGGAACAAGTTTTAGAAAATATAGGAAAGGGTCCCTGAAGAAAAACGTTGGGATTAACTTCATTTGCATAAATGTTATTTTTAATGGTGATTTGAATTAAAGTCGGCTATTCATCGATGGGTTTTGTGAGTTGTTTATTGTTTAAGAAAAAACAATATCATGTTCTACATGTTTTGGCTGCATTGAAAGCATTTTGACAAGAGTTAGTACAAAAAATCAATCTTTTTTTAATATTTGTCTTTCAAAGTAACAATTTTCCCTGAAAAATGATTTTAAGTTACATTTTGTCACAAAAGAAGTTTCAACACAAAATTTGATATTGAAAAAAATTTAAACAAATTAATTTTTAAAATAATTTTGATCAGAATATTGAAAAGTGTGTTTCACGGAAAATGTTACTTTGAAAGAAAAATATGTACAAAAAAAAAGACTGATTTTTTACTAATTCTTGTCAAAATGATTTCACAGGTCATGAATTATGGCTGCAGCACGCAGCCAAAATTTTTTTTCTTAAACAATAAACAACTCACGAAACCCATCGAGGAAAAGTCGATTTTAAATTCAAATCACCATGAATCAACCCTCGATCGTGAAATTCTACTACAAAGATAATTTTAATAATAACAATCAAGGATGTGCGTTGGTTTAACGACTTGAAAAATTTTACATCTGCAGTTTACGCAATTATAAACAAAAATTAAAATCTCGTCATTTTTCCGATTAATTGATAAGCATCGCCTCTGGGAAGTACATAAATGAAAGGAAAATAGTATAGAAAAAATTGTTGTACTTACCAAGTCATACATCAAGCGGATCTCTCCCTATGGTTGATCCATGGTGATGCATCAGATGTCCAGACTGTCCAGGATCGCCCCTGAGACTGCCTCCTAGGCCAACACCGGAGTTGGCCGCACTCAGCTTAGCGGCCAAGTCGTGCATTACATCTCGGAAGATGAGCGAGTCTACGTTCTCGCCAAGCATTGAGATCAGAAACCAGTCCCCCAACTTGGATTTTCGCACCAAAATGTCCAGCACGTCGCCCCTGATGAGGCGAAACCTGAGGCGCAGGAGGTACACGCGCATTCGCGGGCTCACGATCACGACGCAGCGGTACATGACGACTAACGCTGTCAGGCCCCCGAGGATGAGGAACCAGAACCAAAGGAAGACGTAGATCTTTTCGTTGACCACGTTGAGTGGCAGGATGCAGACCGCATCGTGGCGCTCCACCTCGCCCGACGTTCCGAACTTGTGAAATGTACACTTGGTCATTCGCGGGAAGATGAATATCATGGGGTCGATTCTGTCCTCTTGGTCACGGTCCAAGAAGGCGATCACATCAAAACCGAACGTCAGGAAAGCACCGTCGAAGAATTTGTTCATTAGGAACATTTGACCTGAAACACATCGCTCGCCGTCAGATAAAAATTCAATCGGCCGCAAGGCCGGGGGTGCCGTCGACAGGCCGCCGCTCTCTCTCTCTCGATAAGGGTGCAGTTTCGCGTGAAAGTGACAGCGTCATTTTTCAAGCCGCCGCACGCCATATTTTAGTGCAATTAGGCTGGCATTTATTTCACGTACATCGACCCCAACGACTCCATCGCACATCAAACCTTCCGTTATTATGAATTATTCGCGCCGATCGTATTGTTCGGCGCAATTAATCAACTCACTTGCAGCGCGCGAGAAAAACTATTAATTACCCTGCTGACGCGCCCGTCTGATATTTTTGTTTTGACCGCGCTCCGCTGCTAATTGTTTGCCACATAGTGATTTTGAAAAATTAATTGTGCTTTGAGTAGGTAGGCATCATTTGCAGAAGGTGTTGAAACAATAATAAAATTCTGACATTGAACGTGAAATACTACGATAAAAAAAATGTAAATATTAATTTAAAAAAAATAAATAAATAAATAAAACTTCCCATTTTTTTAATATTTTCATTCCTGGTGATTTGAATTGAAAGTCGGCTTTGCCTAAAAAAATTTAGTCTTCTCTCGACCTCCATGCTTAAAACACACGTTTTTCTATTCTGCCCAAAATTACTATAAAATTCAGTTTGTAAAAATATGTGCAAAAATTATTGTCATTTATGTGAAAAAAATTGTAACTGAAAAGAAATTTTCCATTAAAAGTTCATGAAAATTCTTCTAAAAATAAAAATTATTTACAAATTTTTATAAAAATAATTTCACAGCTCGTTAATTATGGCTGCAGCCAAATGATGGAGCGCAGTTTTCTTCTTAAACAATAAATAACTCACAGAACCCACCACGGAAAAGCTGACTTTAAATTCAAATCACCATGAATCAACCCTCCATTGTGAAATTCTACTTCAAAATTTTCGTTCCTGTCATTTTTTTTCATATATAAAAAATTAAGTTAATTCAATTTTGCCCCAATTTATTTTAAATTTCAAGCGTTAACAAAATTTATTTTTAACCAGCATTGGAAAACATATTTTTTTGTTTCATCCACTTTTAACACCATTTAACACATTTATAAAAAAGAGAAGAGTTTTCGCGGGAAAAGCGGTGAGAGTTATGAATGCAATATTTTCCACTCGACTCGGCCAATTAGCGTGAGCGGCGCGCAATAAAAATAGTCATAATTACACGGTCGGTGCTCTTTCAAGTGGCCGCGCGGCGCGGACCATTCAGACGAGAAAGCGAAAAGTGCAGCAACAAAGTCCCTCGGCAATAAATCTGGCGGCTCCCGGAGCTTTTTCCACGCCCGTCCGCGTAAACAAGCAAAGCGGAGAGCGGCAATTTAACGAATGAAGCTCGCGTCACCCTTGGAGAGCGGGGCCGATTTTGAAAGGGTGCGACCGACTCACCTACAACGTTGAGCAAGGCTAGTAGTTCGCATAGGTAGTACCTATATGCCCACCAGTTGTGATTCTTGAGATTATCCCACAGGTAGTCGAGTAACAACTTCTTCTTCTGTTTCTTCTCCACTTCTGAGCATATCCCCACGTCTAGGTCCATCATTAACGCGTGGATCTTCCCGCCTTCCCAGCTTTTCCACAACCATCTGGGCGCATAGAAAAGGATCGCCTGAAAGCACAAGAGAAGAGAGGTTCTAAGTACCACTGCAAACACACGCAAGCACCTGCCGAGAAAGCCTGCCAAGACGCGCTTTACTAATGATGTAAATGTTTCACGCTTCCCTGACCCCTTTCACGCTACACAAATGTTTTTCATATTCACAATATCAAAATTAAATTCAAATATAATTAGGTGAAAAACACATTTCTTTAGCCTGAAAGGTAAATAAGTTGCATGACTTTAAATATCCTTTGATTCCTTTGAAAAGCAACAATTTATCGCGAGTCTCTCCGAGTCAAAAGCACTCGCTTCTTTTCATTTATGAAACGCGCCTCTCTGCTGCGTGCTTTAATTTCCCAGGCCGAAATTAATGATTTCCAAGTGCCAAGTGACCCGCGGGCGTTCACAAAGCGGCTCATTGTGCAATAAGTCATTCAGCTCGACGCCCTCGTCGCGCTGCTTTTTGCTTTTTGCTTTTCAGTCTCAGTCGTCGTATCTCGTCACTTCATCAGCGACGGAAAGAAGGGCTTGTGGAGAATTCTAAAGCGATTTAACGGCGGCAGCACAACTAATTAACAGCAATTTGTATGCTTTGCCGAGACTCGGCGAATTTGATTCGCAGGCTGGCTCGTCGCACGCACCCTTTGATCCTAAGGACGAACAACGCAATCAGCTCTCGTTCGAACGTCGAGAAAGGAATTTCGCATTCCCGTTGCGTTTGTTTGCGGCCTGTTTGCTGAAGGCAGAGGCGTTTCGTTTGTTTTGAGAGGTTCTCTCGAGCAAAGGGTTGTGCAAAAGCCTCTCTTCAATTTCAATTGTCTCTAAATGAAATAAAGTAGAGTGCTTACATTTTTAAAGCAAACATTTCCAATTTTATTGTTGAAATAAGTTGTTTTCATTTGTAACTCAATGTGGACAAATAAAAACAACAATAATAATTTGTTTGATAAAATTGACTCTCATGGAGATGATCATGGAAATGAAAAGATCGTTGTGAAGATTGTTTTTATTTAAAAAACAAAAGGCACCACAAAATGAGTTTTTTTTTTGGCAATTTTGCTGATCTTTTTCTCTTGCTCATGAAAATAGGGTTAAAGATCGTGACCAAAACTGGTAGAGAGCCATTTTTTTGTTAATAAAATCAATTTTAGCAAGAGGAAAAGCCCAATCCCTTTATTTAAACAGTAATAATTGAACAAATGTTTACTAAAAATTTCATTTTTTTTTTAAATTTAGTAAAAAACGTTTGTTAATTTTTTAATAAAATTTATTATTATTTTTAAAAATTATTAAATTTGAAAAAATTTAACACCAAATCTGTTTTTTTTTTTAATGCTTTACTTTTTTTGATAATTACTATTCAATTCCTTAGGAATATTTTATCACGTTCTTCAAAATGTTAAGAATTTTGAACATTCAAGTTTGGCCAAGTTTTTGATTAGACAGAGAGTGAACTGCTGCATTGCCTCGAGTTGAAAGGTTACGCCAAGTTTCTCTTTCTCTGTGTCTTGCCTGCCAAAGTGGGGGTTTGCAACTTCTTAAGCTTTGACTAAAGCCGTCGCCCGCAGCTCAGTGCGAGCCCCGCCATTTACGTTTTATGCGAGAGTCAAGCGCAACTCTTTTATTCTCACAGAGCGTTATTATTCGGCCCTGATTGACGGCACGCGAGGCCCAATTTTGTTTGGATATTTCATTAGGCGGCGTCTTTCCGCGCTGGGCGGTGTGTTTTGCGTTCGCACGGCCTCTCGCGAGCCATTTAAATAAATAGAGCAAGTCATCGTCTTTTCATAAGTAGAATATAATGAAGGAAACCGCGGCTCCCACGCGCGGGTATGGATTTTTTCGCCGCATCCCGAAAACGCAAACACGGAATCGCGAGAGTTGTTCAGACAAAAGTATAGATTCAGCTCTGTTTATTTCTCCAAGGCTGGAAATTGGCTGGCAAGCGAGCTAAATATTTTTATTTCCGCCGGGATTGATGCTGCTGACGCGTTTTATTGTGGAAATATGCAAATGTGCGGCGCTCGCACAGCGAGCGAAATCAACGCCGTTATGCAGCCGGGAATATAAATCAGCGGCAAAAGCAGCCAGCTTGCTTTTATTTATCGAGCGTGGAATAACAATAATCGGGAATTTGGCAAAAGTTTTATTCCACACCCTCTGGAAAATTCCCAGCCTTAATAATATATTTTCTCGGATTTATTCTTTTCCAAATCATTTGCAAGTCAACATATGCGTATAAATTGATCGCCTTAAATAGGTCAGTAGACCAAAAATTCTGAACAATTAAACACGACTGCCAAGTTGACCAAGAAACGGAAAAGAAGAAATCGGGCTTTTCCTCGTTGTAAAAAAACGGCTCTACCAGTTTCGGTCACGGTCAGCGCAAGAAAATACAAAATAATCAACAAAAAAGAAAAAAAAACACGTTTTAACATAAAATTAAAATCTGACCGAGAAACCACTGTTAAGTTAATTCAGACTGAAAGTTATTTTAAGTTCTTTTCTGTTTTAATATTTGTCTGAATGGACAATAGATAAATAAAATATATTAAAAAATAATAAATATTTAAAAAATCTAATTTGCTGAATTTTAAAAAGTTATTTTTTTAACACATCAATAAGTTTATTTTAATTATCATTATTTATTTTTTTTAATTTATTTTTTAAATAATTTAAAATTTAAAATAATTTTAAATTTGAGAAAAGATTGTTATAAAACAGCGCTGTTGTATATTACAAAAGCAACTTTTTATATAAAAAAATCGTACCCTAAACTAACACTTGTGCCCCACTTTATTTAAGGGATGCATCGCGGTGTGAGAGAGAAATGAAGCGATTTTGTTGGAACCGCCGTTGTCAGCGCGAGTGAATTCGGCTGCCGCTGCTTTTGCCGAGAGCACGTCGGTGCTTTGAATTTATCGAGAAAAAATGCCGCGAGTGCGTTTGATAGATAGATCGGAGCGCGGCGGCAAATGTATCGATGGCAGAAAATCAATAGCTGCTCCTCCGCATCACGCGGTCCATCTAGCCGGAGAATCCATCCGTCGGTTGTGTTTGGTCAGTGTGAAAGGCCAAGCAAGAGCCACTCGAGCATTTTTGCATCAGATGAGACAAGTGGGCTTTTTTTCTTCTCCTTTTCTTTTGCTCCCACAGAGCGAGCAGAGAAATGAGAGATATACGTGTCGGGGGCACAAAGAGCAGTGAAAGTATTGACATTTTGTTCACTCTCTGCAAAAGGGTTGTGCGGCTGCGAGATGCGAACGAAAATTTCTTTGGCACTCGATGTGCGCGGCAAGCAAAGTTTCAGGTGTTTTTTTTCCCCGACGCACGCACCCCTTTCTTGTGTTCCCGCGCGCTGAAATATGACAATACACTCGCTCGCAAAAGTGCTTTTGAAGTGTGAAATGGCAGTTTCATAGCTCAACGAGACGGTTAAAGGGACCGACTAACATATGCAAATAGAAAAAATATCGTAAATTCTTCGCTAACGCCATATTTCACAAAAATACAAGCTTAAAAATGAAAAATATCAACAATATAATATGGAAATGAAGATATCAAACTTTTCCTCCTTGCAAACTTTTTTTATTAACAAAAATATTTGTAATAAATAATTATATTAAATTAGTACTTGTGACTAATCGCCCTGACGTGGAATTACGTTCCGAGACAACGAGATATTTGAGACAAAGCCGGTGTAAAAAAGTAAGAAAAATTCCTGTTGTGATAATAAACAATTTTAATTGAGGGCGAAAATTTCCCAAAATTAAAATTCTTTAAAACCACCCCAATCATAGCCGAAACAGCTGTCCAGCACAAAACAGCGGACAGATTGGGGTGGGTTTAAAGAAAATTTTAATTTTGGGAAATTTTCGCCCCCAATTAAAATTGTTTATTATCACAACAGGAATTTTTCTAACTTTTTTACACCGGCTTAGTCTCAAATATCTCGTTGTCTCGGAACGTAATTCCACGTCAGGGCGATTAGTCACAAGTACTAATTTAATTATTTCCCGTTTCGAGTGGTTTCTTTGGGTTTTAAATTCTCAAAAAATAATTATAATTTTTATTATATGTTATTTCATAAAATATAACAATTTTTCATTAATAAAAACAGTGTTTTTACTTAAAAATTTCAAATTAAATAAATTTGATTTAGTAAAACTAATTTTTGTATAAAATAATTTTTTATAAAATTGATTTTTTTTAAATAAATACAATTAACCCGATCTCGTTATTTCGGTTATTTCCATGATCATCTGCTCGAGTGTCAATTTCTTTAAACAAACTTTATAACAATTCACATTATTCCTTAACCATTGAAAAAGTCTCAACATTTGCATCTTCTTGTTTTGCTTAAATTTGGAGTTAAACTTCAGATGAACATCTTGTACAAATTTAGACAAGTTTTAATGAATTGCAAATCATGTGAATTTTATGCACATATTTAAGCACAAAATTTTCATTTTACCCATTCAAAGTGAAACATTAATAATAATAATATAAAAAAACTTCAATTTTTATGTTGGTTTTATGGGATAAAATAATTTAATCCGACATTAAATGACCTCAATTATCATATTAAAACCGTTTGCACTCCATGAATTAGCGTTGCCAGGTTCAAGCCACAGTTAAAATAAATTAAAATTTCTAAAGAGCTCCTCTGGCGTTCAAATGAAATTAATGAAAACTAGTAGCTAGTGGAGTGCAAACATAGACGAGGACAAACAAGCAAACAACCCGGCCGGCAAATGAATTAAACGATGAATAATGGCCCTTTGAAAAGCAGCGAGTCCCGTGCAAATGATGCAGCCGATTAAAAATTCATCGCACTGCTGTTTATTTCTCGGGGCGTGTAAATCAAAGGCGACAATTCGCCGACCATGACTGCCTGTTTCTAAATTATAAATGAGAGAGCGACCGAGTGTGCTGTTTTTTGCTCTCGCGCACCGGCCATGAATGCTAAACAATGCGAAATATGTAAATTAATACAGGGGATCATCCCG